ATCGTGGCGTCGCGTTATTTTGATGCGGAAGCAGTGTCCGTCGTGAACCTCCAACCGCCTTACCCCTGACCGGGCCGTGGCCTTGCCCAGATAGACCGTGATGTTGCTGATCAGGTCTAAGGGCAACTGACGGTCCGGCGTGTTGATCCGCCACTCCACTGGTGCTGTACCACCGCTACTCCCGGGTGGAGTCGAACTAGCTGCAGTAAGTCGGCATGTTCCTCAAACGACAGTGGAATGCTGCAGTCCGATTCTGCCAGCTCTTCTCCGAAAAGTGGTGGTAATAGCTCTTCTTGGGCTACGGGTGGGGGAGTGTCACTGGTTGGCGGTAGCAATGGAGCGTCACCTTGGGGTGCGAAGCTCAGGCTCATCAGTGACACTACGTCCGATTCTGGTTCGTTGTTACGACCCGCTAACTCTTCTTTCGCGTCTCCAGCGTCGGAGATATCGGAGTAGTGTGGTCTTTCCTCCTGTAGCTCCGCTGCTGGTTCGGCCCGCTGCTGACTCATTAGGTCCCACTCAGCCCAAAAGTTTGACTCCCAATTGGCGAGACGGGGTGGAGTGGTTGGCCCAAAGCTTGGTGCATCGGCGTGTGCCTCACCGCATGGTCCTGCATCCACAAGGGTGGACACAAGGCTGCCCTGACCGTACAAGATGGTGGTCTGGTCGTCCGTGTCCGTGGCAACGTTGTCTTCGTCTATGGATGGCCCATAGTGCCCGAACAAACGGCGATTTAATGCCTCGACATCGTGGTTGGGTGCCAGTCGGACCCCGGTGGTTGCGAAGCGTCCATCTGGTTCCACCTCCCCTTCGGTGTCGGTGTCGGCTCGGTTGGTTCGTCGTCTCCGGTCCCGTGGAATTCTTTGAGATCCATCAAGCTTGCAGTCTTCCTTTGTCGTCCCTCGAGTGTTTGTAGCCGCACTATATTGGAAGCTAAGAATTTGGCGACCTTGTACGGTCCGTCGTATTTAGGTGCTGGTTTCGCTGCGAAGCTATCCGTTGCTTTGGACAGGTGGTGCTGGCGAAGGAGTACCAGCGTCCCAAGTGTAGGTCGCCATTCTCGTCTCCGCAAGCCGTAAGTCTTCTTCTGTTCTTGAGATGCCCGCTGAGTGTTCTCCTATACCACCTTGAAGATTTCTTGCAGTCGCGTTGCCTTGTCATGTGCGGGTTCTGCTTCTTCTCCCATTCCTAGAGTTACTTCGTCGTAAAGTGATCTTGGTAGTCGCGGTTCCCATCCTAGCATTAGGAATGCTGGACTGAAGCCTGTGGTGTCGGAAGTGCTGCTATTTATGGCTTAACTCAATTCTGGGAGTAGGTCGTCCCATGTTCGTTGGTCGCCATCAAGGTATTGTGCTATCATCGTCTTTATGGTCCTGTTTGCCCTCTCGGTGGGATTTTGTTGTGGCGTATACGGGGCCGTGTGTTCCAATACCATTCCTACTTGTTCGCAAAACTTCCGCAAGGAGCTGCTCGTAAACTGTGTCCCGTTGTCACACACAAACTTTCTAGGGATGCCGAACCTGCTGAGTATCCTTTCCCGAAATGCTTTCTCCAAGAGGGCGGTGGTAGCCTTCCGAAGTGGAAGCAGTTCAACCCATTTGCAGAACGAGTAAAAGAAAACGAGGAGCATCGTGTTGCCTTGCTTTGACCGTGGTAAGGGTCCCACGAAATCCGCGCACAGAATGTCGAACGGGCCCTTGGCTTACCGTGTATACATTTTCCCTGCTGGTTTTCTTTGACTCACTTTGAATTTTTGGCAGTTTTCGCATCGTTGGACATACTGGGCTACGTTTCTGTAGAGTCCCGGCCAGTAATATCGCCGGGTCACCCGGTCAGCGGTCTTCCGTATACCTTGGTGTCTTGCGGTGGGATGGTCATGGCATTCTTCCAGCACCCGCCGACGATGGTCACTGGAGACACATAGTTTCCACGGTTGAGAGTCTTCCTCGTCCGGTCGGCATCCTGTATGCTTGTAGAGCTGTCCGTTCTCGATAAGGAAGTCGTTGCAATTCTCTGGTTGTTCCTTGATCCTTTTGAGCAATCTTGTAATCCAGGGGCATGTGGGTGGGTCCTCTACCGTTCGCTTCAGTGCCTCGATGGGTTGGCGCGAAAGGGCATCTGCTACTATATTCTGGCTCCCTCGGCGGTAGTGGATATCGAATTGGTACTGTTGAAGTTCCAACGCCCACCGGGCGATGCGTCCTGTAGGGTTATCTATCGAATTTAACCATTTCAAGGCTAGATGGTCCGTAACGACGTCAAAGTGATAGCCCTCTAAGTAGCACCGTAACTTTCTGATGGCCCAGACGATCGCTAAGCACTCCTTTTCTGTTGTCGAGTAATTTCCTTCCGCTTTCAACAGGCGGCGACTGGCATAAGCTATGACTCTCTCCTCTCCGGTGATCTGTTGTGTCAAAACTGTTCCTAAGCCGTAGGAGCTCGCGTCAGTTTGTAGCGTTAACTTCTCCGTGAAGTCAGGGCATGCTAAGACGGGTGTTTGTGTCAACTTCCCTTTCAGGTCCTCAAATGATCTCTGCTGCTCCTCTACCCAGATCCATGGTTTGTCCTTCTTTAGAAGGCTGGTCATTGGTTGTACAATTGTAGCAAAATTCGGCACAAATCTGCGGTACCACGAAGTCATTCAAAACACCGTCTCAGCTCCTTGATTGTATTAGGGGGTGTCAACTTCCGGACTGCCACAATCTTCTCCGGGTCGGTATGGATACCTTGCTCGCTAACGACATGTCCTAGGTATACGATGCTCTTTTGAAAGAAACTGCATTTGTCTTTGTTCAGTCTCAGATTCGCTTCACGCAGCCTTCGGAATACTTCTCGCAGATTATTGACGTGGTCATCCAAGGCTTTTCCTATGACAATCATGTCATCGAGGTAAGCGAAGGCGTACGGTTCCATCTTCGGTCCAATAACGCTGTCCAGGACTCGCTGAAACGTTGCCGGTGCTGAGTGCAGTCCGAACGGCATGACTTTTCAATGTAACAGTCCTCTACCTGGCACGGTAAATGCAGTGCATTCCCGACTTCCCTCCGCCATCGGGATTTGCCAATACCCATTCTTCAAGTCCAAGTCTTCTCCAAGTCGAGATGTAGTGGGCATCGCGGAGTCTCTCGAGGATGTGGTTGATCCTGGGGAGCGGATAAGCGTCCGGTACAGATCTGGCGTTGAGTTGTCGGTAGTCGACGCACATGCGCATCTCGCCTGTCTTTTTCCCAACGAGTACTATAGGCGCGCTGTGTGGGCTCTTTGAAGCTTCGATACGTCCTTCCCGCAGTAACTCGTCGACTTGGTCGTCTATTATCTTCTGCATGGCCGGGTTTTTCGGGTAATACCGTTGTTTCACAGGTTTGTCGACCTTCATATAGATTGTATGCTGTGCTATGTGAGAAATACCTGCCAGACCCTCGAATTTGGCCAACTCTTCTTCCAGGAACGCCGCTACGCACGGAGTTGGTGGTTTGTGGATCCGAAACGAAAAAGGGTTGTACATTTGGTACCTGATCGCGCTCCTTTGTTGCCAATGGGCAGTTGGGCTCGCAACCTTCCAAAAGGTATTTTTTGTTCATTTTTTCCATATATTAGGTTTGGTTAACGAATTTTAGCTCCAAAGTCTCTCCATAGATTTTAATGAGCGATACCTTAAACGACGCCAAATTAATGCACCTATACACAAAAAATAGAGGACACAGGATATAAATTCTTTTCGACTTTTCCTGAGTTTTTAAAGTCAAAATTTCGTAAAAAATGCCGCACAAAAATCATCATTTTTGCATTTTAATGCTTTATATTTCCCAGACGGTAAGCTGAAATCACAAAAGTGTTTAGGCTCAACTTCTAGCTGTTTTAATTATCTTTTCAAAATAGCAAAGTTCTTTACAACCAGACGTAAGATACTAGTGTTATGTGAAAAAAAAAATCGATACCTCTGAAAAAAAGGTTAAAAAAAATACCAGTTTTCAAAAATTCTTTAAAAAAAAGTTCTGCCATAGAAAAAAAAAAATATCATCAAACCATTTCTAAGCCCCAAATCTTTAAGAAAAAGTTCGTTTTGTTCCTTGAGGAAAAATCGTGTTCACTAGTGTAATTGTCAAATGCAACCATAAATAATTGACATTTACAACCAAAAATCGGAATTCACTACGAAAATGTAAACAATGACAGACAGGAAAATGGTAAAAAACAACAACAAAACATCTCATGTCAGAATTGTCTCAGACACAAAAACTCGGTTTGTGGACTATCCTCTGGGAATTCTTTTATGAATGCTCTGCAAAACTTATGCAGGATATTGCACTCGCTTTTGGCAGACAGCCTTCAGACTATTCTGTACTAAGAAAAAGAGCCCAAAGTATACAATGCTATGGCTATAGAAAACTTTCCTGCGTTTCTGCCTGGGTTCCGCGCGTAACAGGCTTCGGCTTGTTGTCGAATGGGCCACTTGATGGTGCAGCCATTGCATATTAACGTCCAGACAATAAATCACGCTTCGAGAGATGAAAACGTTGCGGAGATACATAATTCTTTGAGAGTTAAGGATGGTGCGGAAGATAAAGTACGCTCCGAGTGGAGTAAGGGGTACGGAGGATCAAGTACGATCCGAGGAGGAAGGAGTACAGAGCATAATGTGCTCTTCGAGGAGGAAGAGGGAGTACGGGGGATTAAGAACTCTCCGATGAGGAAGATTTATTGCACTACCGGTGTGTATCGCAAAGGAGTCGTACGCTCTACTACACTAGTAATGCTTACCTTACCTAATAGGGTGATCAGAAAGACTGATCTGGATCCGTGACTAGTCCAGATAGACTGCCACGATTCGTTTCAGAAACGTTGATTTGATATAATCTGATCAGCGTTTATGCCTTCTGATTTGGATGATCAAACTACATTGGGCTTAAGATCACACAGAACGACTTCTTTTTAACACTTATTTACATACTCTTTCGTTTATTTCATCCACCAAATACTAATACGTTCACCAAAATATGTAAATACAAATTTTATTTTATTTATTTTGTAAATTAAAGTTTATTTATTGATTTTAAATTATTGCTGTAAGTGTCAAGTCAAAAATGTTTGAAGAGTCTCAAATGATAATCCTGGATTGTTTAACGATTTTGGACTTTGTATATTATTATATCCTTTAAAATTAAAGCAACGTTGAAATCCTGGGTCTAGCCTTAACAGTGATTGAATTTTTGGATTAGACAATCCAAAAAAAGATTCTCCCTGCACATCAAATGGTATTTTTACTCTTTTATTAACATACCGCTGAATATTATTCAACAGTTCTGCATGACACATATTAGGGGTTTCTCCAAAAAATACACCATCCAAATCATTATCAGGGATTATTTGAAATTGAGGAACTCCAGCGTTATTTAAAATTTTACAAGTGAATACACACTTTTTATGTGGATCTTTTGGATGGGCATAAATTCGGGTTGCTACATAACCAACTGGATAAATCCAACACTCATTATGAAAATTTGAATTCCCTGATATATCGCCTAGTGAATGTAGTAATAAATTATTTAAATGAATTGGAAAAGATATTTGGTTTTGTGCTGTAAAACCATTCTGAGATTCCTCTTCAATTTCACTGGGATGTGAAGAACTTGGTTTATTTTTGTTTAAAGTTCGTATAAAATTCTCCTTATATTCGAGTTTTCCATTTGAAACGCAGTTGCGTACTATATTGGTCTTTTCTAAACCTTCGTAAAACATTAATTTCTTAATTAGATAAACCCTTTGTGATCGAGTAGCAGATAATTCAGACTGTAGATGGCAAATTTCATCAGTAAGACAAGAGTTTTCCTATAAAAAAAAAAATATGTTAATATGTTAATATTGGAAAGCAGACATAGCTTAAATGATCCAAATAGGTAGATTAAATGCAAAATATAAAAAAAAAGCAGGAATACAAACGAAATAAAAACACTTTACGCAACTTTACGCAGACAATTGTTTGGTTCTGACAAATACTATACAATACAAAGATGTTGCATGAGACCGAAAAGCTGTTCTATGGCGATCAAATGTGTCTCTTTTAGTTTTTGTGAGACCCGATTGTGTCTCGGCTCAACCGAAAACACGAAACAGATAACACATGCGAAGAGACAAGTGTTCTGCTCAGAGCGACAGAGAGTGTGTGGTTTTTTTGTCTGTTTTGTCAGTGACCATGCCGCAAAGGCAAAACGCATGCATTCACATTTGTGCAATGCGTTTGTGTACATATACAGCACGCAAAATTAATTATTGTATTGTTACCAACTACTGTAATACATGTGTACGTGAGCGGCAAAGGCGCTCTGTCCTATACCCATTAGATAGGGGGGTGCAGAGCCCTGATTCAAATCAAAGACTATACAATACAATGATTTAAATTTTCGTTTGACACTTCATAGTACGGGCGCGGGGGTATTTCTTCCATTCTCCTTTAGGCTGGCCTTTGCCTCTGTTTTCGGCTTCGTAAATGCTTCGGCCCGCGTCGATTCGAGCGACATAATACACCAACGAAAAATGAAGTCTGACGACGGAAATAGGCCCAGGGCGGGTTATCAGTTGCCTAGGCCCCCTCTCTTAATTCTCTCTTAAATCTCTCTTTTTGGTTTTGCGCAAAGTTTTTGCCTACATCTTGCACCATTCATTCCAGGAAGAATTTTAAAGTATATATTCCTGATCTGGGTATCAGCTGTTCTCTCAGTCCACACACGGTCCCGATAGGCAACTATCGATATAAATCTGTAGATTCCGATCGGGCTCCAGGAATAAGTAAACGAAACATTCCTGTCACAGTTTTTTTATATGGAGTTTGACAGGAATTTTTCGATTCCGCAGTGCTGGATATTATGCTTAAACATAAAAATTAATCAAACAAACATAAACTTTTCAAGTTTTTATTTCAAATGAAAAGAGAAGGGAGCTGGCGTGAAAAAATGGAGGGCCCCAGATTTATGGTTTCCCAGGGCCCGGTTGAGGGTTGATCCCTGAATGTGCCCTGAATGGGTCGAGTTTGGTTTTAAAGATGTTATTTGTTTGTATTGTGTGTATTTACAGTGGGTTCTCAGCCAAAAAGAGGTGTCAAAATTAAAAAATATTTTATGAACGCTTTGAATAAAATATATATAATGTAGTTTTCAAGATAATTTTAGTTTAGGATATATGAAAATAAAATGTACAAAAATGTATTAAACCCTTTTTCACTTTATAATTTATCAAGCTGGGCCTACTGTGCGCATCTCCTGAGCGGGCGGCTCGGCTCGTTTCTTACGTACAGACGAAGGTGTCGGGCAGCGGGCTCGCGGTCAGAGACGAAGCATAGCCGAAAAGAGAATTAAAACCCCGTGCGCTCCCACTGTCCATGGGGCGTACCGGTAAGCCTCGCCATAGAACAGCTTTTTTGTCGCTCATGCAGCATCTTGGTATTGTATAGTCTTTGTTCAAATCCAGTGCAAAGACGCAGGCTAGTTCATATTTTGACAGCAGTTGCGAAAATAAATTTTGAGGAAGACACAAAATATTTTTAAGGCGTATAAGAAATATATAGTACTAGCAGACCCAGCGCTTCGCTGCTAATTAAATGAATTAGATTTTTAGGAATTCATCAAAATTAAACAATGATAACACTACTCGACACGAGTTTTCCTCAAGGAACAAAACCAACTTTTTCTTAAAGACTTAAAGGCCCGCAACCTTCAAAAAGGTTTTTAGGTTTGGTTAACGAATTTTAGCTCCAAATTTTCTCCATAATTTAATGAATGAATGAACAATACCTTAAAAGACGTCTAATTAATGCGCCTATACATAAACAATATAATTAAAATTTACTTTTCCTGAGTTTTTAAAATCAAAATTTCGTAAAATATACCACACAAAAATCGTATTTTTTGCATTTCAAAGCATTATATTTCCCAGACGGTAAGCTAAAATCACAAAGTGTTTGTGCTTACTTTGTAGCTCTTTAAATAATCTTTTCAAAATAATTAATTTTCAAAATGCGAAGGTATTTACAACACGACGTAAGATACTAGAGTTATGGGAAAAAAAGAAGCGCTACCTCTGAAAAAAGCTATACAAAAACAATACAATTAAAAAATTTTTCAAAAAAAAGATCTTCCATAAAAAAAAAACATAATTCTTTAAAAAAATGTAAAGTCCCATATCTATCAGATAAAGTTGGTTTGGATCCTTGAGGAAAAAAAAAGTTGGATTTTGTCGAGTAGTGTAAACGAAGTCAACAAATATATACTTAAACAAATTGCAATTTTTTCAGAAAACCATCTTTCAAACAAAAAGTTATAAAAACAAAATCTATCATAAAATGTTCTGTTTCACAGAATGGACATAAAATGAAATGAAATAGACATTTTTAGACCAAATTTGAGATTTTTTTGATAAATTTTTAATTTTCGAAGAACCTATTTATAGAAAATTAAAAGCATTGTAAAGAAACTGTTTGGTTACGCAGCCAAATAGTGGACAAATGCATAGATTATAGCCAGTGGTGCAGCAGTAGAGTAAATCCGTATTATTTTTCGTTGTTTGCACTACCCACTGTACTAAATTGTCATCTACTTACAAACTCATGCACGCATTCATGCTCCCACACGACAGCAGCCTATGCAGCCGTTCTCTTTCGCCTCTTCATCTCGCGCCTTTCTTTTTCTTTCCTTTGCTTTGCTAATACTCTCTCGATCTGTCGCTCTCTCGCTCGCATTAGGACACGGGCAATTCGGCCGCCTGCCCTTTGATTCAGTCTGGATCTAGCAAACACTGCACATCGTCTTGGAATCGAGCTATTCAATCCGATACCGTCTTGTACCGACCCCCGCGTCTGCAATGTGACCCCGTTGAATCCAGCTAACTCTCCAACCGACTTGTCATCAACCTAACTCGAACCTTTCGCTATCCCTTTGACTCTGTATCGCCTTCTATACTGTTTACAACAATAAACCATACATATTAAATCTTAACAATCATCGTCCCGTTAATAAACATATCGCAAAACTACGCTATTGAATATGCTCAGTAGCTCAACAGAAACAATGCCACATTCTCTGGCTATCATTTAAAAAAATCAACATGCAAATTGGTGCACGCGTTGTGGAGAAATTAAATGAAATAGGCGTTCAAACACACACTTTTGGACCAAATTTAAGATTTGTTTGATTAATTTTTAATTCTTGAGGAACCTATTTTTAGAAAAGAACAAATTTGTTTGTGCAAACCATGCCACATTCTCTGGCTTTTATTAAATCAGCATGCAATTTGCTGCACGCGTTGCGGAGATAGACGTTTACACACAGATTTTTTTTACAAATTTATAGTATAGATAAAGTTTTATTGATTTTTAACTAGATGTTTATGTGGTTTAGGGGCATACTAATGATGATGAGTCTGGTAGCGACGTGATATTTTTGTGTCCGATTCCGATATGGCATATATTTTGCGTCTCTTTGTAAAAACATGTACACAATATGGGTGGATATGTCAGCATATTGTAAATATGTATGAGGTGAGGTATCTGGTTGGTTTTTCCCGGAACTATACATATGTATCATCAAAAGTGCTGCTAATTTGCATAGTATCGAATATGCCAACTTTTACCAAGAATTGAATCTCGAGCTTTTTTAAAACATCCATATTTTAGTTTCACTTGCAAATTGCAATCATGATTATAATAAATTTGGAAGATATTACGAAAATACATATGTAGATATTCGTCTTACCAGTATATACAATTTAATACACCGTTTCAATCTGTCGTATTTTCGCTTATAATTAAAATGCATGATTGATTGAAAAAGGTATAAAAGCAATTTCAACCACAATGGAGCATCAGTAAAACCAAACTATCGATGGATTCCCTTCCTTGATAACCATGGATGTTTCTTTCGATGTTTTCAAAGGTGTAACTTTTGAACACTTTCATGGTTCGATGACATTAGACAATGCTAACTTTTCTGGAAAGAGAGAGATATCATGCGAGATACACTGACAGGCAAAACTATAACACTAATTCAGTACTCTCACTTCAACGGTTTGTATCTTGTCTTCAGTTTTATTTATGCTAAAGATCTTAATCTTGTTTTGTTGGTGAATCATTTAACTAGGTTTTTTTTTAAATTGGAGGCCATTTTATACGCCGAAAGAAATATGCCAAACAAAAATGTAAATAAAGTCATATATTACAGTTCTGCACTGCGACTATATTTTAAACAAATACTTTTATTAATAATTATTTAGTAATGTGTCCACAGCCCTTTTAATTTTTGTTAGCTCTCCTATGCGATTTTTCATTCTGTGGGTGTAGCGGTGCACCATTGCATTGGGTCCCACAGCCACAACTCTATCATTGCACTTGGTGAGACCGCATATGTCACTAGCTGCAATCACCAACCTGTCAGCCATTGTTTAAATTTTCGCTGTTAAATTCAGTTTTTCCTTTGAATGTCAATTATATATGGTGTCATTTGAAAATATATATTCGCATAAATATCGAATAGAAACGTGAGAATGGATGTTGGAATAACTGGGAAATTTCAGAACGGCAAAGCCTACTTTTCCCACACAGCACATCTATGAAGAACGGTGAGAATTTTTGACAGATGTGAAACTCCGATTCCCACTGGCACCATCCACCATCCATGGAAAATAGCTGATGTCGCGTCACGACGCTAATTTTATATTTTGGTAAAATTTGAAGTCTAGTGTAAGATAGTTTAGGGCGAAGCGGGAGCGCATTCGTTCTTTCTCTTTCGTAGTGACCAGACGTGTTTTTGTTTTGCGCTCCGCATTTTCCTTTTGTTTAACTTAAACAGCCGGTGTTTTTTATCTATAATTTAACTCTCTAACTAACTTACATTAAAATCATACTTTTACAGCGGGTGCATGCCTGATAATTGTGTAAAAACACAACTTATTTAATACATTTTGTGCGTCGGTTAGTCGTGTGTTTGTGTTGTTGCTTTTCGTCAGTTCGCCCTCTCATTACATTTAGCCGCTCTTTGTCGTAGTTATTTCCGCCTATCACTCTCTCTCTATCACCTAACTCTCAATATCTGTTCTTTCTCTCTCGCTCTCATAACTTTCTGTGCAGTAACGCTCTCACTTGTAAGCTGTTGCTGCAACCACTCTCCTCTCTCATCTTTTACCGATTTCGCTTTAAGCATTGCTCTAAGCATTTGCTCTGCACAGTGGTCTGATTGCTATTTGTTTTGAACTTTTTTTCCCGAAGTAAAAAAAAATTAAAGACATAAATATGGAATTTTCTGTCGTCTGTGCCAATAAAACCTGCAAGAAGCAGATCACCCATGACCAGCCCAATATCCCCTGCTGACTTTGCGAAAGCGTAGTGCACGCAAAATGTTTAGGGATCTCGGGCCGTGTAGGAGACGCCATTTCCCAAAACAACGGCCTACATTATAGTTGTGAGGAATGCCGTGCTGTGGAAAACGACATGCGTTCGTTCATGAGGCAGACTCGGAATGGCTTCAAAGAGCTGATCGTAGGCTTTAAACAGCAATATGATCGGCTCTTGGCCATGAACACTCAGTTCAGCAGTTTACAGCTGCTGGCTGAGTCTCCGAGGCGCAAGAAGTCTACTCCGCGGGACTTGCAAGTGCCGACTGCCTCATGTCCGCCGGCATCTGAAAAACTTACTCCGACCACTCCCTTAGTGCAGCAGTTGATTACGTTTGCTACTCCAAGGGCAACGATCGCTGCTGGTGATGCAGATTCGGGAGCCGAATGCGTCACTTTGGAGAGTTTTTTTTTTTTTTTTAATTTGGAAAACAATATAACAATACAAACATGGTATGTGAGGGTGTGGGGGGTGTGGATAGGTAGGTAGAATCCGCTCCCGCGGGACTGCCGCTAAGCATAACTTCGCGGGGTGGAGGGGTGGGGAAATTCAGCAAGCAGAGTTATCCGGCCCGGCTTCTCTCCAGCCTACGCAGCTCCTGGATGATGGTTGCTGCCATCGTGGCGACCGTCTTCCATATCTTCTCGTCCGCTACCATCCGTGCAGTTATGTTGTCTGGGTTGGCACCTGGGCTCATCTCTAGTAGCCTCGCGCGTTCTTGCAAGAAGCGGGGGCAGGAGAAAAACACATGTTCTGCGTCTTCCACTACTCCAGGCCCACAATGGCTGCAGTAGGGGTTGTCGGCGTGCTTGAAGCGATGGAGGTAGTTCTTGAAGCAGCCATGCCCCGTTAACAGGTAGTGGTCTATCTGTCCTTACCTTCGTTTCAGCCATTGGCCAAGCTGAGGGATGAGCCTTCTCGTCCACCTTCCGTTAACAGCTTGATCCCAGCGCTGCTGCCAGCGTGATATGCTGCCCTCTCGCCGCTCGCTGACTACCGACGTTCCACTCTGTCGCTCGTCCGCCAGAAGGTCCAGCGGGACCATGCCTGCCACAACCAATGCTTCGTCTTCTGACACCGTCCGGAAGCAGTACGCAACTCGCAGAGCGCAGCGTCTGTATGTGCTTCTGCTGCCTGCACTGTACGAGGGCACCCTCATTGCTGGCGCCCACACTGTCGATCCGTACATGATTATGGAGGTAACCACCCCGGCGATGAGCTTTCTGCTGCGCTGTCGAGGTCCTCCTTTGTTGGCCATCATCCTGCTTATTGCTGCGGTTGCTGTGGCTGCCTTCGCGCTTGCGTATGCAAGGTGGGCCTTGAAGGATAGCCTTTGATCCAGCATCACCCCAAGGTATTTTACCGCAGGTTTGGTCACGATGGTGGTGCTTCCGACCCTCACGCATGCCTGCTCGACCTTCTTTCTGCTGCTTATAAGCACAGCCTCCGTCTTCTTCTCCGCCAGGGACAGTCCATTCTCTGCAAGCCAGGATACTATGCTTCCGACTGCCTCGTTGCATTTTGCTTCACTGTCTCTACTGTGCTTTGCTACTGTCACCAGTGCGATATCGTCAGCAAAGCCCACCAGAGTGCATCCTTCCGGTAGTGCGAGCCGCAGGATATCGTCATACATGACGTTCCATAGAATAGGGCCTAGGACCGAACCCTGGGGAACGCCACCCGCTTTGCTCCCTCTTCCGTGTCATAGAGCAGGACTCGGTCTGTAAAATAGCTTTTTAGCGTTTGTATAAGGTACAAAGATATGCCTCTCCTAGTCAGGGCTTCCAGTATGCTCCTCCAGCTGGCTGAGTTGAAGGCGTTCCGTAAGTCTAGCGTGCATACTAAACAATATTCTTTGGTGCCTCCAGCCCATCGCGATCACGCAATGGCAGCTCTGGCCAGATCCGTTACCAGTTATTTATTTATTTATTTATTTATTCGCCAACGGATAAACCTTATCTGGCTAGACTAAACTTAATTCTACATTAAAAAGTAAACAAACAAAATAAGGAACTAACAATTAAACAAGAAAAACTCAGAAAGCAACCGTCTGACGGCTCCTTTCCCAAGGCAAAAATCGAATCGCATCCCAGCAGGTAGCGAATTATACCGGCGAAGAGCCCTACATATTGGCTCATTATTACCGTAATTGTTCCGGTGAAGATCAACCACAAAGAGTGCATGGCCCCTAAGGCTCCTGGCAGGCGTGTTAAAGCTAATCCCAGCAAGCAGGTCAGGCCAATCGATGTTACCCACTAATATATCGTATATAAATAACTGAGCCGCAATAGTCCTTCGATCCTCGAGAGAGGAGAGATGCACAAGGCGACATCTGCACTCATAGGACGGCAACGGAACGGAAAGTTGCAAAGGCTGGAGTGCAAACTTCAAAAACTTCCTTTGCAATCTCTCGATACGCGCAATTTGAACGACCCCAGTGGGGTTCCAAACCACCGAAGCATACTCAAGGCGCGAGCGCACCAGAAATGAATAAAGACTTAGCCTCGTATATGGGTCCCTAAACTGGGATGAATTACGCGTAACAAAGCCGAACATAGCATAGGCTCTTGGCAAAATGAAGTTCAAATGCTCGATAAAAAGAAATTTTGAATCGAACAAGACCCCTAGGTCAAGTGTCTCTGCATGCTTCAAGAGCGGAAGGCCAACTAGCGAATATGAGGCCTGAACATTGAATACACACTTGCTAAAGGACATAAAGTAACATTTGTTAATGTTGAGAGGGAGAGAATTATGTGTGCACCAACGAGCGACTGCATCCAGGTCTCGCTGAAGACGGATACTGTCGCCTAAAGTTTTGATAGGACGGAAGATTTTCAGATCATCAGCATTAAGCAAATGCTCAGAAGATTGAATGCTGAAACATATGTCATTAATGAAAATAGCAAACAGCAACGGCCCAAGAGCACTTCCCTGTGGAAGGCCAGAAGTAGCCAAATATGGGACCGACTGCTTTCCGTTTACCAACACAACATGAACCAACAAAGCATGCTCGAATAAATCCCCAACCGATGCAGCTTGGCTACTAAGGCACAGTGGGAGACTTTGTCAAAAGCCTTAGCAAAGTCAGTGTACACTACATCGACCTGAGAATGCCTTTCAAAGGCATGTGTGCAAAAATTACTGAAGGCTACCAAATTAGTGGTCGTTGATCTACCCGGCATAAAAGCATGCTGATTTGGGCTTATGTACGACTTCATGAGGAAAGAGATCTTTTGGCAATGATTCGCTCAAGAAGTTTTGAGACATTGCTGAGTTTGGCAATTGGTCTATAATTAGAGATACAATTCTTAGCACCTTTCGTGGCAGCTTTCCACTTTTTAATAAACTGACCCGTTACCAAAGAATTTTTGAACAGAATTTTAAGAGGCTCACAAAAAGCAACATCACAGTTGCGAAGCAGAAAGGCAGAAATGCCATCACTCTCGGGCTTACTTGAGTTGTCGAAATCAGCAATTGCCTCCAAAATGTCCACCTCCGATACATCAAGCGAGCCAATATTGACCAC